TAACATATAACTTAAACGCAACGAAAGCGCAAGTCAAGCGCAAGTTAGGCGCAACCATACCTCTTCCTGATTGATGATCTTCTACGGGTTCGTCGTCTACCTCCGGCAGGAATAAGCTAATGCAGAACCGAAGGAAATGGAGGAATCCGAGAGCGCTTACCAGAGCTGGAGCTGGAGTAACAGTGAAGATGTCGCGCGGCGTTTCCATTCTTTATTTACCGAAATTCAAATGAAAAGCGTTATCGGGTCGGGTCGCTAACTCTGAAAAGACATAAAGCGTTAATATTAAATTAAAAAAAAAGCCTAACAGATGTCGCATTTTCATTGACGACCAAACGGAGAGATGGCTTCGATCACCTGACCCAATAATTTGCCCAACTCTACACCTCAAAATCAAATCTTTCCACCGACCATTCACCTCTTCAGGATCGAATCCCAATCTCCTAAACCTATTTAGCACCCAATCCACCCATCCCTCTGTTGCATGTCAATGAGCAGACGGGCACCCACCGTGATTTTATCGCAGTGCGTGGCTATGTCCGCAGAGTTATCTGGTAACTTCCTGTGCTTCCTGCTAATGAACCGATTGATTTGCCGTCTCAATCCTTATAGAAGAGGCCGTCTTTCTTTCTTTAGCAGCAGTAGTAGCTGTTCTTCCAACTGTGACGATTTACACGGATTAGTCGATCCGGATTGCTCAATTTCCAGCAATGGATGGACAGTTGGTCAAGAAAACAAGAAACAAGTCGTCGTATTTGCCAAAGACTTCGCCTTTTTGCAAGAGGAAGCTGCAGATTGTAGCTCAACCTTCAAAATCGAGCCCTCTGAAGAAGCTGTTTTGATTTGTGAGGCAATTAGGTCTAATTTTGATGACTTGGAAGAGGAGACACTGAAGTACCTGCGTCAGTTTCGGGGAAAGCTTGATAATAACCTTGTTATCGAGGTGCTGAGGCTCTTAAAGGTTCCTGAATTGGCGGTTAAGTTCTTCTTATGGGCTGGGAGACAGATTGGCTATAGCCACGACACTCTCACTTTTGATGCCTTGCTTGATGTGCTTGGTTTCAATGAGAAGAACAGTGTCCCTCAACATTTTCTTAGAGAGATTGAACTAGACGACAGAGAAGTGCTAGGGAGGTTGCTTAATGTTTTGATAAGAAAATGCTGTCGAAATGGATTTTGGAACATGGCGTTAGAGGAGCTTGGGAGGCTTAAGGACTTTGGTCATAGGCCATCCAGAACTGCTTATAATGCTCTGGTTCAGGTTCTTTTGACTGCTGACATGTTGGATTCGGCTTTTTTGGTTCATAGGGAGATGTCAGATTCGGGGTGTTCAATGGACAGGTTCACAATAGGGTGCTTTGTTCATGCATTATGCAAAGCTGGGAGGTGGGAGGAAGCTCTTAGTATCCTAGAGAAGGAAGATTTTACGCTTGACACAATTTTATGCACACAGATGATAAGTGGATTGTTGGAAGCTTCTCTTTTTGAGGAAGCCATGTCTCTGCTACACAGACTGCGCTCAAATTCCCACTTGCCAAATGTTGTGACTTATAGAACACTACTTTCAGGCTTTTTAAAGAAAAAGCAGCTCGGATGGTGTAAGAGGATCGTCAACATGATGATCATGGAGGGTTGCCATCCAAGCCCGTCATTGTTTAATTCTCTCTTACATGCTTATTGCACTGCGGGTGATTATAGTTATGCTTACAAGATGCTGAAAAAGATGGATGGATGTGGTTGCCGACCAGGATACGTACCTTATAACATTTTTATCGGAGGACTTTGTGGGAATGGGGAGGCAAGTTCTGCGATGGTGGAATTGGCAGAAAAAGTTTATGAGGAAATGCTCGATGTTGGTGTTGTGCTTAACAAGGTAAATGTTGTTAACTTCACAGAATGCCTTTGCAACCTGGGAAAGTTTGATAGGGCCTTCAAGGTTATTCAAGAGATGATGAGGAAGGGGTTTGTACCTGATACTAGTACATATACAAAAGTTATTAGTTGTCTCTGCCAGGCTTCTAAGGTGGAGGAGGCTTTTTGTTTATTTGAAGAAATGAAAAGTACTGGTGTTGCACCTGATGTTTATACATATACCACTCTGATAGACACTTTTTGTAAGGTTGGGCTTATCCAACAGGCTAAAAATTGGTTTGACGAAATGATAAGGAATGGATGCACACCAAATGTTGTGACTTATACTTCACTTATACACTCCTACCTTAAAGCTAGGAGAGTTTCAGAGGCAAATAAACTCTTTATTAGTATGCTTGGCATGGGTTGTCTTCCCAATGTGGTCACCTACAGTGCTTTAATTGATGGTCTTTGTAAGGCTGGCGACATTGAGAAAGCATGCCAAATTTATTCCAAAATGACTGGAACATCTGAAGGGAATAATGTTGACATGTACTTTCAAGGTAATAGTTCTAACACTACAGAACCAAATGTTTTTACCTATGGTGCATTAGTTGATGGTTTGTGTAAAGCTCACAAAGTTGTTGAGGCTCATGATTTGTTGGATACAATGCTATCATCTGGTTGTAAACCAAATCAGGTTGTTTATGATGCTCTTGTTGATGGTTTCTGCAAGGTTGGCAAACTTGACGAGGCACAAAATGTTCTTGTTAGAATGTCCCAGCATGGTCATACCCCGAGCGTGTATACATATAGTTCCTTAATTGATAGGCTGTTTAAAGATAAAAGGCTTGATCTTGTTCTAGAGGTTCTGTCTAAAATGTTGGTGAACTCTTGTGCTCCAAACGTTGTCACATACACAGAGATGATTGACGGGCTTTGTAAGGTAGGAAAAACTGAGGCGGCATATAAGCTTTTTAAAATGATGGTAGAGAAAGGAAGTAATCCTGATGTTATAACATACACAGCCATGATAGATGGTTTTGGAAATGCAGATAAAGTTAACATGTGCCTTGAGCTTTATGGGCAAATGATCGCCAAGGGTTGTGCTCCTAACTTTATAACGTACAGAGTGTTGATAAACCATTGTTGTGGTGCTGGCCTTTTGGATGAGGCACTTGAACTTCTAGGTGAGATGAAGCAAACACACTGGCCAATTCACGTGGCAGGTTACTGCAAAGTTATTGAAGGTTTCAGTAGGAAATTTATAGCCTCGATTGGACTCATAGAAGATATATCAAACTATAGTTCAATGCCTATGGCTCCAGCTTACAAAATTATTATTGGCAGTTTTTGCCAAGCTGGAAGGCTGGATGAAGCTTTTGATTTGTACAAAGAAGTTAAATGCAGTTCATTATGCAGTCCCATTTTAAATCTGAATACATATTCTGTCTTTATTGAGGCCCTATGTTTAGCATCCAAGCTCGATAAGGCATTTCAGTTGTATGGTGATATGATTTTGAGGGGTCATGTTCCAGAATTAATGCTCCTATTCTGCCTTTTGAAGGGACTAATTCATGTTGGCAAGTGGGAAGAAGCACTCGAGCTCTCTTATAGCATATGCCATATGGTCAGTCTCTCTCTCCCTTGCTTAAAAGACCATGCATTGTGTTTCATACATGTTTTTCTTGGAAAATGTTGTTCTTGTATTTTCCTATTTTTCGACTCATTTTATTTCCCTTTGTTATAGTTTATTTTCAAGTTCATCCAACGTTATTGGCTTCATAGTTTAAATTTGTGTAATGTGAAATGCATCTTATTTTTTGTGTGGAAAATTTACAATGAGTCCTTTGTCTCATTGGGTGCTATGTGAGGTGCGCCTCACCTCAGTTTTGATGAGGCTTGCGTAATTTAGTGGTAGTGTATCTTTTTAGAAAAAGTAAATATAAGTTACATAAATCTACTCCTAACACACATAGTCGATTGCCTTCTTTCTAGCCACAGCTATCGCATTCTCCTTGCCAAGTCTAATTCATCCATAAGGAATTCTTATTTTGATATTTATATAGCACTTCTTACTTCATGATTTGACATTGGGGTATTAATTTATTATTTGATACTTTATGCAAGTTGTTACTACTTAATATGTTAGGATGTTAATGTGTTACTTTTTAATATGTTCATATATTCGGATTTCAATATATTACTCCTTACCTCATGCTTTTATGTGTATTTAATATTTTTTCTTAGTGCAATTTATTGTTTCTAAGGTTTATGCCTCAAAACTCTTCAAGGCTTATGTTTTGCCTCTTGATTCATGAAAGAAAAATGCCTCGATGCCCAATTTTGCAATTTTAAATATAGATTGGCTTTAAACTAATAGTTTCAAAGCTATTATTATCCATTGTTAGTTTTGAAGTAGACGTAATGGGGGCTAAAGCTTGAGATTTGGCTCAAGTGCTTAAGTTGAAAGTTGAAACTAAATCCTGGTGATCATGCTTGGGCTCCCATCATTATAAATATGTATTAAGGAATCAATTTCAAAGAATGCATGTGTATTATATACGTATCTATATAGATTCATAGCTGAATTCCTGCATTTTGCATTATGATGAAATAAAACTAGTTACAAGTAACTATCAAGAGTAAAAAACTATACCCTATCACTATCCTCCCTCAACAATGACAAAAGTGTTGAGGGGAATTCACTATTATTCACATCATAAAAGGTAAAATTATCTACTAAAGCAAGGTGGGCACAGTAATCAGCCGCACGATTACTATCCGGGGGCATATATTGAAAGAGCACCTGCTTAAATTCCATGAAGAAGGATAGATCCGGCCCCTCCACGCGGCGATGGATTTTATTCTGACAATCAGTCAGGCTCTGCATCCAGCAGATGTCATTAACACAATCTCCTTCAATGATAATCCCGTCTAGCTCATACATCCAATCCATTAGGACTTCACGAATCGCACCGGCCGCCAATACTTCCGCCTGCATAACATCCCAGTGTTCTGTACACACTATAGGTCTGTATATATAAGAGCATGTTTTGAGTCTTAGTTTATATAAAACTAAGGGTATCATCATTGTAAGAGAGTCACTAGTATGCGAGTCATATTATATTTTGGGTCTATGTATTGTTGGAGGTAGATAAGGGGTTTCCGAGGTTTGGTGGAGGGTTGATGGAAGGGTAAGAAGAAAAAGATTTATTAGTTGATGGATAACAGGAGCTGAGACTTTTTTTGCATTGGATGTATATTTTTTTGGGTAGAGGGGTGAGGACCTCTAAATCATAACATTGGGATATTATCTAATTAACGTGGGATGATTTTAGTACAATTGAATGTGTGAATAGGATGTAAATTTTTTTTTGGGAATAGTCACAATAGATGGATAACAGGAGCTGTGATTTTTTGTAAGAGGTATAACTTGATTTTTGTGAGTGTTGGATAGATTTAAGACCTTAGGAAGATGGTGGGGATGTTTAAGAATGGAAACTAGTAAAAAAACATGAAAAAAAAAACTTGCACTTTGCCAAAGGAGAAAGTGTGTTGAAAGCCACCGATCAATTAATTTCAATCCTAAGACACTGAGCATGGAATCACAAAGAAGATGGGCTTCCTTTTTTTTCATTCATCAAAACTCCTATAAAAGAGGTTTCTTTCCTATTTTAAACTATAACACCAGCAATAAACAAATTAAAATGGAGGAGGAGGTGCTTAGGAAAGGTTGCAAGAGGAATGGATGAGGTGATGCGTGTAGTATGTTTTATTGTTTTGTGGATGTGGCGTTGGTCGGTGGTTGGAGTGCTTGTGCAACTTGAATTGTCAATCTTTTGACATCCTATGAATGTAGCTGTCCAAGTTCTCTTTCCAATAGAACCTCCATTGGCTTAGTCTTCCAACATATATTCTCTAACCATTTGATTGAGCCTAGGCTAGGCTGACCACTTTAAGTGGCCCATGCAAACTCTAACTTCATGGCTCCTCATTCAATGCACTGATACAAACATACTGTGTATTTAATAAACAACTTTATTTGACTAATTAAAATTATAATATACTTGATATTAGAGTAAGTACAAACCAACGTAACAAAATGCAGTCCACATAACAATGAGTATAATGACATGTGAATCACTATGCGAGATTTAATCTATAAAGCTCTTTTTTATGACTCTTTTGATGTGCTACATCATACGTATTGGACTATTTCTTATGTCATAGGCCATGTTGGATATTTATGTTGTTGGGTTTGGTGGTGGGAGTATTTATGTTTGTGTCTTCTGGTCTCACGTATTCGTATAAATAGGGTGTATTTTGTAATGTAAATCACTTTTTGTTACAAATGGGTTAATGAATATATTTTTGAAATGAAATTCTTATGACCATAAGAAACACATGAACTTCCTTGCTTTCAATATCTTATTCTTAGCGAGTATGAAAAGGAGATTCTTCACCAAGATTGGATCCTTGGCGAAGTATTGTTCATTTAATCCTTGTTATAACACCTTTAGAGAAAGTTGATCAAGATTGTGTTGACATGACAAATTATTCGTGTTGGCCATCTACATTTTCTTTGTTCTCATCCTCGTTTTTTTTTAAAGATAGGTTCCTTTATTTTTGTCCTACATCAACTAATCTTGCAGAAAGATGATCTCTTTTACCATCTATCCACATCTTTGATAAATTGAGATTTAAAACAGTTTTTAATTTATAAAATATGATATTGGGGCTAAAAAAAATTGATTTCACCTAATTAAATTCTAGCTTTTCAATGATGTGGATGAATGGTATGAGATATGAGAGGATGAAAAGTCCTATTAAATGTGTGTGCATGTGCGGCATTCTGCCCCGTTTTATGGTTGATTTTAAAGCTTTTCTTGATGCTGATCACTGCTAATTTAGCATAATCTTAAATGCTTTGTAGGTTAACTCGATATTCTTGATTGTTTTTAGTGATACGTCCGCTGCCAAACAATTCCTTTTAAAATGCTTAGGAATGTTTTAGCATTCCTGTGCCATTCATATTATTTTGATTAATGAAGCGTTGTTGCTTCATGCTTGGGTTTTAATGTATTATGATTATGGAAATCTGTTAACATCCCATTTTCTTACACTTTCAACAGGGCATTAGTTGGGCTGAAGAAGAAAGCTCTGATGTGGGCTAGAATAGTTTTTTTGTCTATTCTAATCTGCTTGTCAGTGCTTTCGACATCGTATTTTCCTGAATTAGAACTTCACTGGAAGGAGGAAATTCATGCATTAGGCACCCAAGCGCTCACCAGGCTACTGCTTGAACTGCACTAATTCGTTCGAAATCTTCTATGAGATGCTAGCTGTTCCCGCATGGCCTGGTATATTATACACTCTTTTGTTTTACATCTACATAGAGACTGCATAAAGTAGATAATTTGCTCTCACTAATGATTTGCCGTTATGTACATTGGATTAAATTTTCATTCAACTGGAAGGCCTGCGCTAATTTTGCTCGTGACTGCTGTAAAAATCTGCTACAAAACGCATTCTTTTAGGATTATAATAATGTGTAATAGCACATCTCCATCTCTTCGCTTCCTTTTAAGTAACAAAGCACCACTCGTTCCTTCCCAGTTTTGGCAGAACTTGTCAAAAATATTTATCGTTTTAATGGTAAAATTTAAGGAATTTATTTGTGCCTTATTTCTAGGATTGTTTTTTCTTTCTGCATATCTATTTCATGAATCATGTTCTTGAAGCTTAATTATTTCGTTCAAGATATCTATGGTTTAGAGTATAGACATCATTTACTGTTTCCTGAGGACTTATTCCATATGCGGCTGTATTTAACTTGAGAAAATGAAGTCCTTGTATCAACTATTAAATATTGATTGTGAACTTTGAAAGACCCTCACACTAAATTGATATTTCCCTAGACAATGGAAAACAGATCCAATGAGAGAATCTCTATAATATATATTACAAATTTATCCCACATATTTTTAAGGATGTTATAGATGACCAAATAATGTTTATTCAGTTATGAGGATAGAGATTTCTTATGAGCACAAACCCTAATGACTAATGACACTCAGAGTGCAACTTTGATTAAGGATGTTCTGCTTGTGTCCTTCTAGTTCAACAAAGGTGATTAGCTTTGTTTAGCATAAGGTTCAGAGATCGCAATCCTCCATTTGTTTGGGTCATGGACTCCAATGAATTAGAACTTTCTCTTCTGGAAATCTTAAAATCAACTCAAATTTAGCTTATACATTCAATCCACATCAAATTACCGTTCCCAGCAATCAAGGCAGCATTCCTGCTGCCTTCATATCTAATGTCCCACTGTTGCCAGCTTGTTCCAGTTCTTTTGCAAGGTTGCTGGCCTCCTGCTACCAGTCTGCCAGCCATTCCCTACAGTCATGCCTCCAAGCAATTCCCTGGTGGCCCTTTAGCTTGCCCCGCCAGCTTTTCATAGCAACTCCACCTACCTACATTCGGGTCACCAGCTTCTCCCTGCATGTTAACCTCTATGTATTAACCAGTAGAACAAAAAAATCATCATCAAAATCATACCCGGCGGATCCACGATATCTGCCCGAAATCCCGACTGAAATCCCCGGAATCCCGCTGAAAGGGCCGAATTTTCGGAGCCCACACTGCATTTCAACCAGAAGTTCATGGCCGGCCCATGCATTCTGCTGGCCAGTGCATTGCCATGCTTATAGTCCCGTAGCTTATTAGGAATTGGGTTATTTGCCACATTTATACACACTTTGTTGTAAACAATTATGTTAATTTTCTTTGTTTTTTTTCCTCTTTTTATTGGGTTAATTATGGATTGATTTTATGTTTTCTTTCTATTTTAGACGCATAACTTAGGTTATAAATTGTGTACCTTTTCCATCATTTGTGCATATGTTAATATGGAAGATTATTCTCTCATGTTTTTTTTAACATGGTATCAGAGTGATATGCTCAATCTTTCATCCTTCTGTATTCTCTATCTTTTACATTCTCTCAGAATTCTTGATCTTCCTTATCCATACTCTTAGAATTATTATTTTTGTTTAAATCACGGTGATTGTTAAATACAAAATAGCCTTGGAAAGAAGATCCTCCATTGGTGATGACTCCTGCCATAAATTAAGATCCCATGACAGCACTGGTTTCCAAGAAACCACCTTTAAATCATCGATTATCTAGTTCAAACCAAAATTTTTTGCACCAAAAAATATCGTCGGTTTGGTTGCTTAGAAAGCTATAGTCTTGAATGCCTTTTAATGTTGAACATAAATCCACAATGTTTGCTTGTGCTCTTTGGGATATTTGATTATTTGATAGGGGAAATCCTTATTTAAAACTCTTAATCTTTGTTTAATGTATACAGTTAGGTTACTGATAGGAAATATTTAAGTTCGCAAGTAACCCTAATGAGAATACTTGAGTTCGCAAGCAAACCTAACAATAATCGGTAAAATCAGCGAGAAAAATAGAAGAATTTGGGTGGAAACAATCAAAATCAGTAGATAATTTTATAAAAATCAAAGCAAAGCAAGAACAAAACAAAGATACAATTGATCCTCAATTCGAGAGGAGGATCGTTCTCTCCCAATCTTTAGACGAGAAGCCTAGAGCTCAAGACACCAAAGAGAACTCCAAGAGAAATAATAGTCATGCATGCCCTAACCCTAGCCTCCCTCTTCCTTTTAATACATACTTCCTAATACAAAGCCAATAAAAGCTTTCCTAGAATAAATCAAATTCAAATCCAATTTAATAGGATTTCTTTAATTGCTGCCCGCCCCCGTTACCTCTCTCTAAATTCCGCCCTAAGTGGGCCCTTCAATCCCCAAGGAGGAGGCGGCTTAGCCTACCTCCTGTATACGTGAACCGGCCTAGGCGGGGCCGATTTGGGCAGTTCAAGCAGAACCGTATCAATACCTCATTCCCAAAGAACAACCTTGTCCTCAAGGTGTAAATTTGAAAACTGATGATTCATCTTCTCATAAGGTTCCCACGTGGCCTCGTAGTCTGGAAGACTTTTCCACTTGATCAGCACTTCTTTAGCTCTCTCTCCCCTCTGGCGAACCCCCATCAACTCTAAGAGTTCCAAAATCACCTCTAAGTCCTTCGTGAGTGTCACTAGTCAATGTTTAAAATTGCGTATTCGGGTATTGAGGCGTTTTTCATTCGTGAGGCGAGGCGTAAGCCTCAAGGCATTTTGAGGCGTAAGCCTCAAAATCAAAAGATTGCGTAAACATAAAATGATAAATTTGTTATATACTAATGAGTGAATAATATAAAACATAAAAAAGCATAAGATACGAAGTGAAATCAAAATATCTCAATAATAAGACAACATGAAATATAGTTCAACTCAAAATTCTATCTTTCTAAAATCCCAATATTCTTTTCATTAACATATAATTCCTATTTCCAAAAATACATAGCAATGACATATCAAATAAGAACTCATAAGTCATCAGCACTGTCATCACTAAGGGGTTCTTTATTTGAATCATCATTACGGTGAACTGCTCTCTCCCATTCCTCCTCTCCTATAGAGTCCAATGTCGGGCATTTATTTCAAGATTTATGTAAGTTTTAATTTATATAGCGTGAGGCGTAAGCCTCATGGCAGTGAGGTAAGGCAGGCCTCAACCAAGTTGAGGTGCAAGCCTCATACAAAAAACTCGAGGCGTAAGTATCGAGGCATTTTTTACTGGAATTACGCAAAGGTGGGCCTCAAGGCGAGCCTCATATTGCGCAATTTTAAAACATGTCACTAGTAACTCTGAGCTGACGTTATACTCTCTAAAGGGCCCTTCTCAGCTGAGATATATGAAAAACCGGATGTATGGTCACCATTAGTGGTAGTTTCAACCGATATGCTACTGCCCCAATCTTCTCCAATACTTCATAAGGTCCAAAGTACCTTGGAGCAAGCTTCTCATTTCTCCTATTGGCGACTGTCTTTTGTCTGTATGGTCGAAGCTTCAAGAACACCCTTTCCCCCACTTCGAATTGGATGCCCTTCCTATGCCCAGCCACTTGTTTTTTTATAATATGTTGCGCCCTCACTAGATATATCTTCAATTCCTCCAATACCCTATCCCTCTCTTGCAAGTAATACCTCCTCCCATACTCATCCTGGTAAGGCTAATGGCTGTAATAGTCCTCCTGGTGACATAGCCAAATACTTATTCTTTTGATAGACCTCGCATCAGGTTACCATCTCCTCCACATCCTTATGCATCCCCTTCCAATACAGCTCCGCCGCCAGCCTCCTGTTGGTCTTCTGTACCCCTAAGTGACCTCCAACTGCACTCCCGTGGAACTCCTGAAGCGGTTGTGGAATGTGGACTGATGTCCTGGGTATTAAAAACTTCCCATGGTAGAGTAGTCTCTCCCCCTCCAATGAGTACCACGGGTGGCTACTCCCTTCCTTTATTAAGTCATCCTTTATCCTACCCAACTCCTCATCCATAACACTCTCCTCCTTGATGGCCTACTAATCTAACATCATTGGGATTGATATTGTCATCGTCTGCAGCTCTCCCATGCATCTGGACAAAGCGTCTGCCACCTTGTTCTCCACTCCTGGCTTGTACTGAATCTCAAAATCATATCCCAGCAACTTGTACAACCACCTCTAATGCTCCTCTGTCACCATCCACTGTTCCACAAAATATTTCAAGCTCCGCTGATCGGTCCTGACAATGAAATGCCTCCCTAGTAGGTAGGACCGCCACTTCTGGATGGCCAAAACGATGGCCATTAACTTCCTCTCATAGACTGATTTTAGCCTGGCTCTAGCAGTCAACACCTGGCTAAAATAGGCGATGGGCCTATGACTCTGAATAAGCACTGCACCCAATCCATATCCGAAAGCATCTCTCTCCACTATGAAAATCTTAGTGAAATCTGGCAAAGCTAAGACTGGTACTATAGTCATAGTTTTCTTCAAGCTCTCAAATGCTGATGTGGCCCCTCCCCCACACAAAACCATCATTCAACTGCTTAGTGAGTGGCCATGCTATAATGCTGTATCATTTTACAAACCTTCTGTAGTAACCTATCAGGCCTAGGAATCTTCTTAATTCCTTCAGATTTTTAGGCACTGACCATTTCAACATTGCCTTAATTTTTGACTGATCTACTGCCATCCCTTTTTTGGATACAACATAGCCCAAGTACTATATACTGGCTTGTGCAAAACAACACTTTTTTAAGTTGGCTTTCAGCTGGTGTTCCTGCAGCACTTCTAACACCCTTCTCAAATGCTCCCAGTGCTCTTATTCTGTCTTTCTGTAGACTAGGATGTCATCAAAGAATACTAGTACAAATTGCTTGAGATAAGGATTAAAAACCTTAT